TCTGTGCTAACCAAGGTCTTGATGATATCCCAAGTTAAACAGACAAGAATGAATTCAAAGTCATTAGCCACTTCTGAAATAATCACTACAATTTTGTTTTTAAAATTGATATGTGAAGAAAATGTTATTTGTTTACTATTATCTTTATTGTTTTATCCCCAGGCTTCATTTTTATCCTCATATCAGTGAAAGGTTTAAGATAATTACTTAAATTAATACAGTTATATAACCCAGAGTAGCAAACATAATTTCAATTTTCTCTTTTTAGTCTCTTGAGAGATCATTGTAAGAACTAGCCTTCAGGTCACACTGGAGAGCACAGAATAGGACAGGGCATAGCAAGCTCAGTATTGATCACAGGGAAGAAGTGGCTTGTCCTCTGCCCCTTCGTGGGGAAAGCCCTGACAGCAGAGGTAACAGACACATCTGGCCCCTCCTTGCAGACCTCCACAGTTAGTATGTAAAATAAATTGCTAATCTAAACCACATAAACTTACGGTAGGCGAGGGTCTGCTGCCCGCCAGGAACTATTTGCTAGCAGTCGTGCTTGAACTGTTAAAAGAGAAACCTGTCTGAGGCTACCTGTCTTCCTCCATGCTCTGGTTTCCAGGCTGTGCATTGGAGGATGGTTCTGTGCTGCTTCTGGCCGTGGTTAAAAGCCTGCTGCAGAAAACCCTTCCTGGAGAGGACTCCAGGCTGTGCAATGCCAGGCAAGGTGCCTGCTGCCTCTGCAGCCCCTGCTGAGATGCCTCAGTGTGTCCTGGCCGGCTGCCATGGTCTGGCACAGGCCTGTCTGTATATTTGAGCATTCTGCCACCAAAGGAGGCAACGTACTACCCAGGCTGGAGTAAGCCTCAAGCTGAACCCTGGCTGGGAGCCTGGCAGCTGGTGGAGCTGCCAAGGAGCATTTCAACAGGAACAGTGGCAGAGCTCCAGTGATCCAGGTGTGCTCTGGTGCTGCTTATCACTGTATATGTGTATACATGTACTTAGATATATATATGTATAAACAAGCATTTCCCCTGACAGAAACCGTGGCAAGGCAGTAGCAGCCCAGTTCAGAGAACATAAAAACGTTTGGTTTTACAATCTTTCCCTTAGGTGCTGCTTCCACCATTCACCTGCCTCTTCTGCCATTCCCTCTTCTGCCTTAAATGCTTTATTTATTCCATGTGCTTTTTCTAAGTGGGTATATTTAGGTTTATTTTACTAAAAAGTCAGTTACTTGGGAGCAAAACTAAAAACAGTGTTTCACAAAGGAGCCTAACTAGGGTGATGGCGTGAATTAGCAAATAGAGCCCCAGGGCATCAGAAGAAGGGCTGCACCACAGGCACTGTAACAGTTGCCACATTTCCTCTAAGGTCCCTCCAAATCCCCTATGTCTGCTAAAGCACCAAACTGCCTCATTGCAGGTGCCTGCCCAGAGCTGGGCACCCACAGATGCTCCACCAGCAAGGCACCAGCTTGCCTGTCTAGCACTGGCAGCCCTGGCGACACCTTAGTGCCCTTCCCAGAACAGTGTAGTTTCAAACTGAAAAAGCCCAGCTCAGTACCTCTTAAACATAAATTTGAAGGCAACATGCAAAAGTCAATGTGTAACCATTTGGAGGATGAATTAAGTAGCCTTTGGAAAGAAAGCATATAGAAAATCATCATAGGCCTGAAAGGAATGCAAGGACAAGCCAGAAACAGAAAACCCCAGCAGATAAGCAAATGAGAGAAAAGAACTGTCAAGAGAAGGAAAGGAGGACTGCAGTGAGGGATGGGTGAGTGTATTTTTTCAGTGAGGGATCTGCAAGGCACGGGGCACTCACCGGGTGGCGAGTAGGGCTGAAAGTTTCATTAGACTTTCTTCTGTCCTTTCTTATCTTTGCACAAAGCCTGTCTTCACACTAAGGACGGAGAGGTTTCTGTGGGGCTGCGTGACACAGCACCCAATGTCCCTCTCGGTTCACGCATTTCCCGTGTTTCCCGACATAAATGAGGCGCCTCTCCCTGGCCCTCCTGCCTTTCAGCCTCGGGAAGAAGACGTTCACTGGACGTTTCACCGCGGCGAAGCACACGAACCTGTGCAGAAGCCTTTCCTCCGGTGCGCCTAGACAGGATGGGGCCCGGGCCGCGAGAAGCTGACTCCGCTCGCCGGGACGGAGCCCCGCGGCTCTGCTGGCTTCCCGAAGACCGGCGGCAGGGGCGCGGCGGCTGCCTGTACCGGGCGGCTCGGGCCCATTCTGCCCCATGGTACAGTGAGGGCACCGGAGCGGACAAGCCGCCGGCACTGCGGGCCGCACGGCAGCATCTGCACCAAGGCATCTGCCGGCTTCCCGGTTTTATTAACGTAATTATAGAAATTAAGCAAGCCCCCTCTTTTAACCACCGCAGCTCTAAGAACGCCGTGAACTGCAACAGAAAGCGTGAACCATCTCTGAAAAGCACAGAGCAGCGTCTGCATCTGCGGGAGTCCTCAAGGGAGGAGAGATCAGGGATAGACTTGAGCGGCCATTGCCAAGTCTTTAGCTGATCACCGAATACGAGGGATGAGCGACCTGCCAGGGAGAGAAAACCCCTGGGGGAGGAGGGAGCCCGGTAATTCCCCTCCCCAAGCTCTAGGGGTCCGGAGAAGGTGAGAGAAACGCCAGCATCTCCACCAGCTGCCTCGCGTAATAATGCATTTGAGATGCTTCGATAGGAGCAGACCATGTCATGACGGCAGCATCGCCACCTTTATCCTGTGTGTGTGGGAAGCATATGTTTCTTACAGACGATCAAAGGTGGTGGTATCGTGTTCTCACCGCTTCTGCGCTTCACTTGAGTTAAACTCCGATTTAAAACAAATAAATAAATGAAATTGATAACTTACCCGGTCATGCTTCCCATTTCGCTGTAGTGGGCGGCATGTCTCTGAATGGATAGAGATCTCAAATGTACTTATTTTCAATTATATGAATAGATCCTTCACAATGCGCATTTTATGCGACCAGTTAAAATAAATAAATAAATACATACATACATACATACATAAATAAATTAAAACAAGCCCGAAAGCGAGGCTCCTTGCTCAGTTGCTTTTCCCCGGAGCTATCTGCAACGCCCGCACCTAATTTTCTACCCATCAAACGAGCCAGTTCCTAAGAATTCTTAAAGCTTATTTAGATTTAAAAGTTTATTTCTGGGAACAGCCATCCCAGCAGAAGTTAAACAGCAGATGCTGACAGCCAGCACAGAACACGATTTTAAAGCATTCGTTGGAATAAAGGCACTCCTGCCTCTCTTCCGTCCCGTCTATGAGAAACCTGCCCGTTTAACACTCGTGCCAGCTGATCCTTTACGCCCCATCTGCGTGTAAGCATTGAACTACGAGAATGAAGCCGGCTCTGCAGGGGAGGATTTTGTTTGACTGGTTTGCTCTGTTTTTGGTTTTGTTTCGGGGGTGGTGTTTTTGGGTTTGTTTCTATTTCATTTAAGCAAAGTTGTAATTTACATTTAATATTTCATTTCAGCAAAGTTTTGCTTAAATGAAAGGTACGTACCTGTAATATTTACGCTCACATTTCAGACCAAATACAAACGATACAATCAGCTTTTTAGGGATTTTCATCTCTTTGGAAGGTTATATTAGGATGAAATGCCCCAGTTTTCTCTTTTGCAGCACACTAGTTAATCAGTTAATGCACGGGGCCAGCACCGAGTGAGCCGCGCTGGTGATAGCTCTGCCCCTTCATTCATTTCCGAGGAAGGGGCAGATGTTGTGGGGAAGTAACTGACAACTCACTCGCATTTCTGAAGATATCTGGAATAAAGACAGCTGAAATAAGATGTTCCAAAACTGTAGGTGGGAGATGGAGGAGCGTGGGGGAAGCTCTCGAGCGACAAACGGCTAAAGGCACGGGAAGACCCTTGCCCCTCCGCTGCCTGTTTCCCGGGCAAAGGGGCTAACGGCTTTGCCCGATGCTCAAGGAAGCTCTGGGGTGCCGTTTCCGGAGGACCAGAGCTGCGCCCGGGTGGAGGGTGCGGCGGCGAAGGGGAGGGCCCTGCCGGGCCGGGTCGGGTCGGACCGGGCCAGCAGCACCTGCCGGGCCTTGCCCAGCGCCGGGGCCGCCCAGCCCCGCGCCCGCTCCCTCCTTCCCCCCGCCCCGGCCACCGAACCCGCCCCAGTGCTCATGCGCCCCAGGAGAGGTTTAAAGCGGCCGCGGGGGCTGCCGTCGGTTGTGCAGCTCCGCCGAAGGGCCAGGGCACTGTGGGGAGGTTGACATCCGCGGTGGGGCGGCCTAGTGGTCAGGCTTCGCTGTGCCGCTCTCCTCGCCTCCGCTCTCGGTCGCCCCGGGGTCCGGACGCGCCCCGCCACCATGTGGCTTGTCCCCTTTCTCCTCGGTGGGTACCGCGGGGGGCGGCTCGGGGCGGCGGGGAAGGCGCGGAGCAGCGCCCCGACCAGCTCCCTGTCTGTTCGCAGGCACCTTCCTGCTCTTCAGCCCCGTTCGCGGGAGCGACGGCTCGGGTGAGTTGCCTGCTTTCTTTCCTCAACCTCCCCAAGGGGTTTTCCCTCTCGGAGTGTCTCTGCGCGTCCCTCCCCGCCGGGAGATGATGTCCCGCGGGGGCACCAGGTCGCGGTACCGGCTCAGTGCTTGCAGCGTTCCCGGCTTCAGCCGCCCCTCGCCGGGATGCGCCGAGGGTCTCCGGTAGCGCCTTCAGTCCGGAGCCCTGTGGAGCGTGAGCGCTGCCTCCGGCCGCGCGCCACCGTGTCGGGCTCCTCCGGAGGTGGCCCTCGGGAGAGGCACAGAGGGTGTCCGGGAACGCTCCCAAACGGGGGTAAAAGACCCTCCTGACACAGGTTGAAGAGCGGTGGTGCCAAGTCTCCCCGTCTAGGAGAACGCTGATGGCAAGCGTGAGTGGTGGTGTGTTTGTGTGTGATACAAAGGCACTCCCGCAGTGTTTGGCAATCTGAGGATCTCTGACATTAAACTGGAATTAAAAGCTTTTTAGACCTGCTGCCCTGCCAATTATTTTGACCTGGAAAGCAAAAGAACATACTTAAAATGCTAGGCAGGGCAGGGACTGTCTGTTGTACTGTGCCCTGTTGGATTGTATCCTGCTGCTGAGAGCGGGCTCTCCTGGAGCCAGAGGCACCCCCGGGGAACCAGGAGCCACAGGAAGCAGCTGAAGAAAAAGTGCATCGCAAGCAGTTCGCCTTCCCCTTGCAGCAGAGCCTTGCACCAAGGGAGGGCAGGAGCCTTCAGAAGGATGCACTTCCATACCTGCAGGCCTGTTCTGCAGAAGGTGAGTGACCCTAATCTTTTCCATTCAGGATTTTATAGTCATTAGGAAGTAGGATTTGCTGATCATTTTGTGTTCAGTCAAGCATTTGTAAAAGTCTTTTGTGCTAAACTGTTAATAGCTCCATGTCACAGGAGTGCTACAGCTAAGAAACCTACTTCAACCAGTAGAAAACCTACTCCAACCACAATTCCCTTCCATGTTTTTTTTACAGGTGCATTACAGATGAAGTGCCAACAGTCTGTAGGAAACAAAGGAAAAGTTTTTTATGGTGCTTCCTCCCAGGGTTAGAGAAGAAGCCATTGTAACCTGAAGGTATGTGAGACCAGTTAAAATAACATCAAGGCAATACTGACAAAATAGAATATTGGTACTAGGATGTGTTTGTGATATAAAATGTGAACAGTTACTGTGAAATACTGTCTATTACCATTGTTCCAAGCCTAATTCAGCAGCATTTGGTTATTGAACTAGAGCTTGCAGGAATTCTTATAAATTCTGCTATTCAAAGTAATAAAATATCACTAGTTCCCTCAAAAATCTACTGTGTCAGGCTTGTAACTGTGTGAGGAGATCTTAAGGGATTTTATACGTTTCTTTATGCTCCCCCTGAAAGGCATACAAGTACTGTGGAGTTCAGCAGTTCCAATTACTCTTCAGGAAACTCTAGGGGTGGGTGACCATTGGCATGTGCTGGTAAGCAACCGTAAGCAGATCAGAAAAGGGCAAGTCTCAGACCGAAATGAATCAGAGCCCTGACCAGATTTTTAAAGTCCCATTGCTCTTGTCTAGATCAAGATAAGTACTTAAGATTATATGAATTAGTATGCAACCTGTCATCATGCTTTCCAAAACATACACAGCTATAGTTCTATTAGGAGGTTTTTATGTTTGTTTTTTTTCTAGTATGGATAAAGCTGGTGTAACTATTTCTTGCATAACATACAAAAAGCAGGCTTGTTTTAAGTCCTTTTTATCTTGAGGATTTGAATCTTCCTGTTTTGCAAAGAAACGATGCTAAATAGTAAAAGGAATAAGAAACATAATAGGGATGAACTTCTCTATTTGTGCCTCATAAAGCTGTATTACTCTTAGGAATCCCTAATTTTTTGTAATAATGTACATAAGGGTTTTTTTTTCCTTTGCCTAAATAAATTTTGCTTTCCCAAACCAATGCATGGAAACTTAAAGATTAGAGCAGCTCTGATTTTTGGCTATTCACTTTTATTTTTCTAGGCTCTTTAAATTAGTAACTCCTGTCAAAAATTAAATGAGAACTCTTATAGGTGGGTGTAAGAAACAGCTATTTAGAACAATTTGGAGTACATGGGATGAGTCCCCAAAAAGATGGAAACTGATGGACTAATTGAAAGTGTTGTTATCAGATGGATGCTCCAGGAGAGAAGTGAGACTTTGCTTAATTTTTTTTTTTTCTTTTTTTTTAGGTCAAGAGTGACAGAAGACATTCATCCTTACACTTAAATATGGCTTAAATCAAGAAGAAATGCCTTTTTTTTTATTTTTTTTTCCCCTTTGTACCCTGATGTAGTGTGTTTCTGTGGAGCTTAAAGAGTGTGTGTCTTGAGAGAATGGGATGATGATCATTTTATCACAGTTCCACTAATACACTTGCACTCTTAAATTACAGTGATTAAAACTTTCTTTTATCTCAGTTACTTTATACATAATCTTTGGCAGTTTCTGTTTGCTGCAGACTACTTCTGTGTTGGATACCTGATGATACATTAACAGCAAAGAACAAAATCCACTGCATAGTCGATATAAGTCTTTTTGGTACCCAGTACTTATCACTTTGATACTGCACCTACTATTCCTAATATTAATCTTGGTTATAGAGACATAGCTCATAGAAAACCAAAATGAAATTGTTGCTTTTTATTTAACAGCTTTTAGTGTATGTGTTTTACCTCTGTGCTGATCCAACTGAGGTAGACTGCTAAAGCCCATAGCTACAGTATGTCAGCTCTTCAACAGCAGCTAGGTCCTTCCCTCAGAAGCCCCTCTCTCCTGGTGTAGACAAGGATCATGACAGTCTGCAGGCATCAGTACATAAAAATCCCATGGGCTGGGCTACAATGGACCTCTGCATTTTCATAGTGTCCAGGGAAGATGCAGCAAGGTTTTGTTTTACTTGTGTTTTTTTTTTTTTGGTTGGTTGGTTGGTTGGTTCCCCCCGTCTTCAATGCTATGGAAATATTAGCCTGACACATGACTAATTACTGAGTACCCAGTGGTGGGGGGAATGCAGATCTCCAAGTGATAAACAGTTTGTAACTGGACATACCTAATTATTGTCTTTGTATGCACAGCTTGCTAAGGGATTCAGTCAAGTTCGGTACATTAGAAATGATAGGTATAAAAACTGCCTGTGGCATCTTGCACTTTTAGAAGCTGGAAAAAATACTGCAGGATGCATGGCACAAACAGTACTGGAAGAGCAGAGATTACCAGTGATGATTATTGCAGTGATTTCTCCAAGGACGTACATACTCCTAGCTGCTGTTTTATTCTGATGGTCTTGCTAGTTGTCATTTGGTGGTTATTGCTTGAGTGGTGTCCACTAAATAACCAGCGCAGTTGTAGTACTTGCATTAAAGTATTCGGGGACTCAAACAGCAAAGTAAATTGACTTCTTTTGGCATAGCACCAATAATATGGCACTTTTAACAAGGAAAATATGGAACTCCTATGTATAAGCATGGTGATTCTGATTCATTTTTCAGATTTCTGTTTTTAAGGCAAATGTGTAGGACTAAACACGTAAAGGAAGTGAGTAGGTAAGACTGAGTCTTGAAAGAAACTTTTTTTTTTTTTCTTGGATACTAGAAAATCAGACTAAGTCACCCTACAGTGTTTTTGTTTTTTTTTTTTAGGTAGATAGTTTTTAGTCTCTGAAGAAGGGAAAATGAAGAAGTATTTACTGCTTTGTTTTGTGTTTTTTGTGGTGGTGTATTTTTTTGGGTTTTGTTTTGTTTTGGTTTTTTTTCTTACTCAGGGGTAGGTAGACATATTCAAGGCATGTATTTGTCCTGACAAATAGCAACAAAGGTTCTTCAAGAAGACGTGATTAGGTGGGTTAACATAATTTCAGTGTAGCATTAATGAGGATTGATTACATATACTGAAGACTAAAACTACATGGATGTCCATGAACGCATATATTTGATTTATGCAACTAGAATGATCAGACACACTTTCTTGTGCACCTCTGGCTGCAGGTGCTCAGTTTTTCAGTCCCAAAGTTGGTGAGATTAGCAGGAGGTATGACCTTGTCCATCTGCTGATGAGGAACAGCATATGCTCCAAATACTTTGAATTACAAGCAGCTTATGTTGGGTCAGTAAATACCCTTGGTAAGAGTGGAAAGATTGGGCAGGGAAGCAGGTGAGGGTCAGATCCCTGAAACATACTCTCCTGGGGATGTAATGCTGTGGGGTATGTACAGATACATTGGCTAGCCTCTGCCAGCTTTCATCTTACTATTGTGGAAAAATAATGTTCTGGATGCATATAGAAAAGGTTCTTACACCTTCTAGCACTCAGCAAGGGCAAGATGTGCTCTTAGGAAGCTCAGAATAAATATCCAGCCATAGGTTGAACTTCTGATGCTGAATCAATGTTGATCTAAGTCAAAACCCTGACCTGCTGTGCTGTCAGACCAGCTGAATGCTCTCCACCAGCCTTGGAGGTCTTTCCCTTGCCCTTCTGTCTCTGCAGTAAGCTTACAGATGTGAATTTTTCCTCCTGTAGTATTCCTTGGATATTATTTTAATGCTGGTTTTTTGTTGTTTGCTTGTTTTGTTTACCCTTTCCACCTTTTTCTGACACTTCTTTCCCATAAATAATCTAAAAGTGTGTTCTTCCTTGTCATAACTGTACATTTGTATGCTCCAAAGATGTCTTTACAGACACAGTGGAGCATAGAATGAGACACTGTACCTAATTTCAAATTCAAGCACTGCTTAAGCTTAGAAACTGTAGAGAAATTAAAAAAACAAAACAAACAAACAAAAACCCACAAAAAAAAAGCCCAATCCTAAAACAAACCCTTAAGATTGTCAGGTCACAGGTTCTTATTTTTTCTTTAGCTCCCACCGCTATCACGTGCTTTACAAGAGGACTCGACCTTAGAAAGCAGATAGAAGATGTCGTTTGCCCAGCAAACTGTCCTCTGTGGCAATTTTATGTCTTTGGGAATGGAGTTTATGCTTCTCTTTCCAGTATCTGTGGAGCTGCCATACACAGGTAAGTCAGATGACTGCTAATCAATGTGTTAAGCAGGTTCATTTACTCTTGCTACACTTTTAACTGTTTGATGCCATCATAATAAAGATCTTTTTGGACTTCAGGAGTCCTATTCAATCAATAGCAACATCATTAGGAGAGACGAGAACACAGAAGAAGAGAATGGTTGGGCAGCTTGCAAGTGTCCTGGGTACCCAAGTTGTGTTTAAGTATTCCTTAAAACCACTTTAACTTTTTTTGTAAGATTACTTATGTGTCACCCATAGACGTGGGAAACTAGAGTGCAAATAGTAACTAAGTGGAGAATAAAAGCAGATTTGCTTTCAGACTTTCATTTACATGACCTTTTTCCTGAAATTATTGCAATTATGATATGATTCTATGATTCTAAATTGGTTTAAGCTCCTGTGCAAGCAGACCTACCTGTGACTTGGCTGAATGATTGCTTTTAATCAGTGTTATGTTTTTTTATGTTAGTGTTTCTCTTCTGACAGTTGCTTGCTGGGTGTTAGTCTAATTAATGATCTCTTAATGAGACCAGTATCTGGCTGAATTATATTCTGTATCAACTGAAAGCTTAGACTAAGAAAAATATCCTGATAACCCATGTTAAACAGATGTTATCAGGATATTTTTCTTAGTCTAAGTTTTTAGTTGTAATTACACAGGGGAAGGAAAACAGGATGGCAGATATATTTTTGATGTTATCTGTGGGGTTTGGGGGGGTTGTTTGTTTTTTTTTTTTTTTAATGAGGAATTTTGGGCAAAACCAGATAGTGAGATACCTATTTCAGTTGTCTGTGGAAGCCGAACTAAATCCTGACTCTCAGCCTACAGGGATTTTTAGACTTTAAGACTTTGAGAAAGATTTATGGTTATTAAAGAAGGATTTTTAGCTTCATCTATTAATTGGCTGTACAACATATTTGTTCACTTAAACTTTTCACAGTATGCTTCCTACCACAAAGTAGATTCAAAACCTTGTAAGGTGTTACGACTCTTAAAATAGGACTGACATTCCAGGAACAGTCATTTGGATTAGACATGAAGAAAAGCCTAATAATAAGGACAGAGACTATTCAGAAACTTATTTAAAGTGTCAGTTTAAATCCTCTAACTTTTAACAAGACTTTCAAAATTCTGGCTATTGTTAATAGTATTTAAACTTCAAAATAAACTAAAATCTATGTTTAAAAGTTGGATTTAATGAGGGCTTTTGAGTAGAGACTTTGGGAACTCCTGAATGCTGTAAAGGAGAGTAAGAGCTGAGGTACTGTAGGGGCAGTTAGAAAGGACTTGGGAGGGATTGTGTGGGTCTGTGTGTGTTTGTTTTTAAAGCTTAAGAGTTAGTTTCAAAGAGAGTTGTATGTCTTCATGTGTGTTTTATTGCTAAAACAGGCTTCTTTTTGATCATTCTGTAAAAAGATGAATGACCTATTTAGTGTGCCCTAAGTGTCTTCATGTGTATTTTAGAAAAATTAAATCTCAGTTCTTCAATTTTCCTAGCTTAAGTATTTACAGAAAGCTTGTGAAAGAATGTCTGGATCAAATTAGTGGATGGGTGTGTGTGTGTGTGTGTGTGTGTGTGTGTGGTTTTTGTTAAGGTTATCTAGGAAAACTGAGATTTCTTCCCACTGTCTTTTTTTTTTTTCCTAAGACATTGTTTGTATTTACTGGTATACCCATTTACTTTAACATTCCATTTCTTTACTGGTTGCCAAAGATGTCTTTACGTAAAAAGGGGGGAAAAAAGGCTCTTGCTTTCAAGACCTTTTTCAAAAGGAATTAAAGACTTCAGCGTTAGTTTTGAGCCTCCTGTGCCAGTGGTGACTGCGACTGTTGGAGAGGTCCTAGCAACAAAGCTGGTGGGGATCAGTTCTGTCACAGCTGGGGAGCACTTTTACAAAAGGGGGAGGTACAAGAAATGGAAGATGCAGATTTCTTTTCTAGTTTTGCAAAGTCTTCCCTTAGGTAATAAAGCACAGACATTTATACATCACTTTTCACAGAAGTCTGTATCTTACAAGCTATTACTGTAAGCTTACAAGTATTGCTGTTCTCCAGCCCAGAAGCATAGTATAGAAAAAAAAAATCTGTATTTTTTCATAGCAAGTATCTATACAAATTATACTACTTGTGAAATATGCACCCTGTTTGTAAAACCTCCATCTAATCTCTCTCCACAGACAGTGCAAGAACAATGAGAGCTCTAATAGCAATGAAGGGGTTGAAATATATTCCCCCTTCTAATCTGTGTCTTCC